GCAAGAGAGCCAGTTTTCTACAAAAGCTACCATCCAGTGACAATATCTCTATTTGAATGTCTGTAACCCTAATTCCACCTGCTAAGTCTTTTTTGCCTTTTAATAAAACATATTGACAGGTTCCAGGGATTAGGGTGTGGACATGTTTGGGGGATCATTATTCCATCTCCTACAGTAATCTGGTAAGTTATCATTTGTTTTGGAAAAAATACTGCAACATATTTAATTATGTAAAGAGTATCTCTGGAAGTTACTTAAAAAACTAGGAAAAATTTTTCATGTAAAACTCTGGAGTTTTTCTTTTCAGGAAAACTCTGAAGAGAGGAACTAAGTCTCTAAGAGGGAGGGCTGGATAGATACTTTTCAACTAGTTATCCTGTGTATATTTTGACTATATATATATGTGTGTGTGTGTGAGTGTGTGTTTATAGACATATATATACATATATGCACCCATTTTGAATTTATATATACATATTCAAAATATAAGCAGAAATGTTAAAAAATACATGAGATCATCTATCCAGAAATCACAAAAAAACTAAAAGAAAAAACAGAATTTTTGCTGTGGTAAAGGTTAAACTAATTGTTCCATATCTAGAAATATGGCGCTGGGAAATGCCTGATAAGAAAGATTTAGTATAAATAGAAAAAAAACTTATATCTACAGTGAAAATTTTTAATGTTTTCATTTATTCAGGACATGTTAATAATTGTTATGAAGAAGGCTTTAGGGGCCAGCCTGGTGGCATAGTGGTTAAGTTCGCATACTCTGCTTCGGCGGCCTGGGGTGTGTGGGTTTTGATCCTGGGCATAGACCTACACAATGCTCATCAAGCCATGCCGTGCCAGCATCCCACATACAAAATAGAGGAAGATAGGCAAGGATGTTAGCTCAAGGACAATCTTTCTCAAGCAAAAAAGAGGAAGACTGGCAACAGATGTTAGCTCAGGGTCAATCTTCCTCACTAAAAAAAAAAAAGAGAAAAAGAAGAAGCCTCTAAAGCCAAAAGCATCAGAGAAAATAGGTAACCCATTATGTAGTAGAATATATCAATGAGCATAGAGTAAAGAAAAAATGGAAACAATGGAAGAAGGAATTAAAAGGAGAAAAGTTTTATTAGAAGAGCAGTGGAATGAGAGACGAAAGGGAGGGTAATGCTTTTACAGTGAATATAATACCTATAGATAGTGTGTGTGTATGTGTACATACATATTTTCCCCCAGAATATGAATAAAGATACAAAAGATGCAAAATGTGGTATTAGAAGAAAACTCACACAATGGAAGAGCTGCTCTTGGTGGCACTGTTGGAAGTGGGAGGAAGGGTGCTATGGGAACGCTTGCTTATTTAGAACATCAAAAACTCAGTTAACAGCAGTTAACCCAAAAAAAAAGGTAAAATACTTGTGAATATGACCGGACAGTTGATTCTATTAGACATTTTAGATTTATCTGAATAAATCCACGTAAGATCTTTCATTTGGGGGAAGGATGAAATAACCAACATAATCAATGAAGAGTAGTAAATTTTCTTTCTTTTAAAGAAGAGATGAAGAATATTGAAATAGAAAATTACTAAGATTATTTAACACAAATGAATAGGAGTTTTGGTGTTTTTTTCAAATCAGAGGTTTTTTAGATTTGTCTTCCCACCAATAAGGGATGAAGAAGAGAGAGTATATGAGAAAAGCTCCAGTAGTATATCATAACAGTGCCAAGAACAGAAGACCAGTGAACCATAAATATAGCACAGAATATCCAAAACATTTTTTTAAATCAAGAATATCTTTAAATAGGAATAAAACCCTGCTTAATACTTTGTAAAGGAGTACTATTCCAGCCTAACTGCCTGATTGCATGACAGAAATGATCAGTAAAGTATATCCTAATATCCATGAGGAAATGCAGAAGTCAATTAAAATTAACTAAGAAAATGAATGAAAACTTCTTATCCTTTCTATGAACATGTAGTTTGCAAAAACTGGAAAGACAAAATACAAAATTTAAGCTGTCAAAAATAAAGGATATTCATTTAGAGGCTAGAAATTAGGCAGATTAAACAATTCAATAATTGAAAACAATAGAGCCAATAAGTACGTTTGAATATATTAGAGAAAGACACAAATCAGCAAAGCAAATGGGATATACAGAGAAACTGTAGGCTCTTGAATTAGTATATACAACAAAAGATGAGAATGCAATTGCGAAAAAAATGGCTTTTTGAAGGGGAATGTATTAAAGTGGATATGTGGTTTTTGTTGTTGTTTACCATCCCTTAAAAATGGGTATGTGGTTATCACAGAAGGATTAGTATGCGATGGACAGAAAGATGCCAAAATGTATACTTTAGGAAGATAAAAATGCATTGGCAAAGTTATAAAAACCTTTAAGAATGGTAACACAAAATGGGAAATAATAGAGTTGGCTCCCAAACAGAGGTGTGGTCTCCCTTGTTCCCAAAGATCGTCTCCATCAGGAGAGGAAGATTCAATAACTTGAGCTTGCCATTTTTGTGAGGGTTTTACGCTCTCCTAAGCCGTTCTAAGCTCTTCTGAGAACATTGTGTGCCTAAGGTGTGCTTTCCTCCGGGAATAATGGCATGATATTCCTGAAGGTTTACTGTTATACAAGTGAAGCCAAGGTCAATTTTCCCATAATATCTTTCACCCAACCTTTGATTTCAAGCCCTTTTAAAAGGCTGATCCTCAGAAGTAAAGGAGGGAAATGTGTTAATAATTGGGAAGTTATCATTGGAGTACAGGCACCTATTTAAGCAGGTTCTGAGGTCGATTTTCTATTATGTTAGTTACATGTGACTGTCACTGAAGTGTGTAGTCTCATCAAGGAGACCCTTTGTGTTGATGTCAATGGAGGAAATAGGATTGGAGTGAGTAAAACATCATTACAGTAACATTTAATGCTGATATGGCCATTTTTTAAAAAGCAGAAAATGACCATAGTTTGTGTGGAAGTTCTTCCTACATTTTTTTACTTTTTTGAATTTCTAGTACAAAAGGAGTGCTCAAGTAAAAAGAAGCAAAATAATTTTTAAAGGGACATAATACAAATTGTAATGCAAGAAGATAGATTATGCCTGAGAACAGAGTAAAAAACATTTTTAAAAACCCTAGAAATTTATTGAATAAAAACATATCAAATGAGTTCTTCAGTTTAAAATAATATAAATAAGGATGAAGATATTGAAATTATTTTACTATGCAGAATCAATAAGGATGAGGAAAAAGAAAGAAAGAAAGAGAAAGGGAAGAAGGGAGGGTAGGATGGAAGGAGGGAGGGAGGGACGAAGGCCATGTACATAGACTCAAAAGATTTTTCTTATTTTGAAGTTCCTGCCTCTCTTGAATCCTTTCCTTACCTTTCCGCTGCTGTGTTTTCTGTTGCAAGGAGGCTAAATCCAGCAGATTTCATTCCAGAAACTCGTGTATATAAGCTTCTGGATGGATCTGATCAATAGAAAGTGCTTGCAGAAGAACTGAGACAGGAGAGAGAGAGGCTTCTGGCTGTTGCTAACGTCTAGTTCCCTCACTGTCCGCTTCCATCATGTGAACAGCCGATTCCCTGCATTCGCTTCCCACTCTGTGTGATGCAACACTACAGACTCCAGAGATCTCGGGCCATATCTCTAGGTGTCTTTCAGAAAGCAAGGAGGAAGTTGTGCTTTCATGTTTTCATTTTGATGGTCATATCAAATACATTGGAAATCTGAGGCTGAAGGTAAAATCTGTCTGGAGATAAAGCAGTGCAGAACTATTCCTGGCATGTGATTTCAGCACAAATATTCGCACTTATATTCAAGATATTTTTAGTGATGAATATACTAAGTTTGCCCCGGAGAGCAAAGAAAGAACAAAAGCAGAAAATATATCAATGTTTTCACAACAAGTGAAAGCCAAATGATATAATGGTGCATTAAATCCTCCAATAAAAAGCAAATAACAGAAGAAAAAAAAACAACAATAAAAAAAGTTTACTTCTCCAAGGCAGAAGGGTAGAAATCACAGTTTTAATTCTCAAAAATTGTGGTTTTCTTTAAATATTTTAAGAACATTTAATATTTCTGTGGTAATTTTCAAAAAGACTACAGGAGCAGACTATTAAAAATGAATGAACCTGTTTTATACTAAGTATTTCAATGTGCTTTTTCTTTAGTGTTTTGTCTTTTTACAAAAAATAAAACCATATTCTACCTGCAATGATCTCATTATACTATTTCCTTTCTCTTATCTAGTGTTTTTACAGCCAAACAAGCAAATTAGAGATAAAGCTGCTAATATTAGGAAGATAAAATTACATTGATTCATATGGAACTTATACATCAGCTTTAGAATTTAACTCAGTGAGCCTATCTCATATAAAATGCTTTATAATGGCAATGTATATTTTTAGTTATGCTAAGCAGTTGAAGACACTATACATTGTATAAAATTAAGAAAATTTGATGTAATATGCATAAGTATATAGATAGATAAAGCCTATATAATCATTTTCATTTTCATTGAAAATTATAGAATGTATATGATTAAGTGCATGAAAATAAATGTCACATTTTAAAGAATAAGTATTAAATGTTAAACCACATATCCACCATCTAAACCAAAAAGTGGAAGACTATCGTGACACATAAAAACCATGCATGACCTTCCTGATTTCACCCTCCCTCAGTTCCTTCCTGAATAAATCAACACAAACTAGCCACTATACTCAAAAACTCCCACGTCTGTGCCACAGAGTCATTCAGAAACCAGTTTCCTCTGCATTGCCTGTCATCCTCCGAAGTCCTAGAATCTTTTGATGAATATCCTTTATTTGACTGGTAGACAAGCGATGTGAGAGTGCATGAGCATAGTGCAATGGGTTTTATGAGTCAAAACATATTCCACTGAACTGAAATATAAAAGAGTATCAAGGAACTACCTGTAAGCATTACAGTTATGGTCCAATATCATCTAGGAGAAAAACAGAAAATCTTTGGGGAACTCCCAGGCAGTCTTTGCCATTACATTCCTGCTCCCGCCTTGCATTTCTTTACAGTTTTTATGATCCACACATATATCCCTAAAAATGAAAAATAATTGAACTTTGTTTTTTAATGCTAATGTAATTCCTCTCCATGTTATATTTTCAGATTAATCGATGATGATATACCGCCCATTTGTTTCACTGGGGTATAGTATCCCATTGTGTGAATATCACAGAGCCTATTTATCTATTCTACTGCTAATAAACATTTTGTTTGGTTCCATGTTTGTTATTATGAGAAATGCTTTAGTAAGCATTATTTCCTATATCTCCTGCTGTACATGTGCAAGAGTTTCCCAAGGGTATGCAGTTAGTGGTAAAATCATTTTGTTATCAGGTATATACTTATTGATTTGTTGGTTAATACCAAAATATTTTCAAATTGGTGATGCTTCCAGTGGTTGGATGGGCACTCCTATCGCTCCCTATCCTCATCAATGTCTTATACTGTTAGACTTTATTTATTTTATTTTTTCGATATAGTGGATGTAAAATTATATTGATTTTATTTATTATTCAACGAATATTAGTGAGTGCCTATTATGTACCAAGTAGTGTTGACCTTGAAGCATATCAGTGAACAAAACAAACAGAGAACTATCCCTCATGGAGCTTATGTTCTCAAAGAAAGGGACGGACAATAAACACAGATAAAACAAACAATTTCTATAGAAACACACACACACAAGTGAAGAGAAGAAAATAAAAAGAAGAGCCGGAGATCTAGAGAGTGTGGGTTTCAATATTAAATAGTTCTGTCAGCATAGGAATGTCAAAAGGTGAATTTAAGGAGACGTGGAATTTGACCAGGTGGACATCTAGAAAAAGAACATCTTTCCTTATATGTATTCATAAGTTTTTGTTTTTAAATAAAGAGCAAGGTTTTAAATATCTATTTTTAAATTTTTATTGCTTACATATTGGAATACAATTGATATTTTTATATTGACCTTGTATCCAATGTCCTTACTAAATCCAGGTATAGATCCTAATGGTCCATAAATTAATTTAGTTTTCTATGTATACAATCATGTCATCTACAAATAATTAATTTTCTCCAACATTTCCAATTTTATACTTTCAAACATGATTAAACTTGATGAAAGTGAACATTCTTGTCTTGTTCCCATACTCAGGAAGAAGACATGAACATCTCATCATTAAGTAAGAAGAACGATAGGTCCTATCGTTTTTTCCTTTAGTCTTTCCTTTCTTTTTTGTACGTATGTTTTATCAGATTAAGGAAGTTTCTTTCTACTCCTAGTTTGATGGGAGATTTTATTTGTGTTTTTCTTCATGAATCAGTGTTAATTTTATTAAATATTTTTCCACATTTATTAGATGACAGTGTAATGCATTTATTTTGTTAATGTATTAAACAATATTGATTGCTTTTCAAATGTGAAACAACTTTGTATTCCTGGAATATATCTATCTGAGTCATAATGGATTTTTCTTTTTGCATAATGTTGCCTTTGATTTGTTCATATTTTATTTAGTGTGTATTCATTAGGTTCATGAGAGTTATCGCCCAGTAAAAACTAATTTGTTCATTTTTTAATGGATATAGAATGATTCAGATTTTCTATTTCTCCTCTGTCAGTTTTGGAAAGTTGTGTTTTTCAAAGAATTTTCCAATTTACGTAAATTTGAAAATTTATTAACATATATATAGTCTTGTCTATTAAATATCTACAAATTCCATTCTACTGTCCTATTTGTCTTCTTATTTGGTGATTTTTCTTTTCTTTCTTTCGTTTTTTCTTCTTTGATTCTTCTAAACATTTATCCATTTTATTAATGTTAACAAAATTTTGGCTTTGTTGAGTTTTTTCTATTGAATGTGTGTTTTATATTTCATTGATTTCTGCCCTTATATATATTATCTTCTTTCAACTATTTTCTTTGCTTTTGATTGTCTTTTCCTAGCTTCTTGAGATCTGTATAAGTTTTGGTCATTGATTTTCAGCATTTCTTCTTTTCTAACATATGCATTTAGAGCTATAAGCTCTGCTATAGCTATACCCCAAGATTTAAGATTTGACATTTTTTTACTGTTCAATGCTAAATATTATTGAATTTTGATTGTATTTCTTTTTGACCCCTTTGATTTTTTTTTTTTTTTTTTTTTTTT